CACCATATGAATCTCAGGATTTTAACTGTTTTTCTCATAGCATCACAGTAAACTAGAGGCCAATGTCAAAGTGGAAACACTGGGGGTAGAAAGGGGAATGAATGATACAGTACACCTTTGACACTGCCTTCTTTTGGTTTTTTCTTTTTTTTTTTTTTTTGCAGGGAAAGATTCGCCCTGAGCTAACATCTGTTGCCAATCTTCCGTTTTCTTCTTTTTCTCCCCAAAGCCTCACTGCATAGTTGTATATCCTAGTTGTAAGTCATTCCAGTTCTTCTATGTGGACTGCCACCACAGCATAGCAAATGACAGACGGGTGGTATGGTTCCATGACTTGGAAGCGAACCTGGGCCGCTGAAGCAGTGAGCACCAAACTTTAACCACTGGGCCATCAGGGTTACTACCTGGGAGCTGGAATGAATTTAATGAAAATAATCAGGGGATAGGAGCCCATTCGTGGTCCACAAGAGCTGACAGCAGCTTGATGTCATGATGGTGGTCATGAAAAGAAAAAGTGGACAGATTCAAAAATATTTATGATGTAAAACCATCAGGGCTAGCTGATGGATTGGCTGTAGGAAGACAGAGGGAGAGGGCTTGTTCAGGGTGATGTTTCCAGCCTATTTAACTGGACGGTGGTGTGGTTCAATGAGATAAGAAACACCAGAGGAGACCCAGGTAGGTGGAGCACAGGTGGGCGATCTGAGGCTCAATTTTGAACATATTGAGTCTGAGGCGCCTTTGACACATCCAAGCAGAAATGTCAAATAAGACAGTGGAGCTGAGGGGCTGTGTGTGCTTCAAGACACAGAATGTCAAGTATATCCATGTAGGTGGGAATCGAGGTCATTGTCTAGGATGAGATCACCCAGGGAAAGAATACAGGGTGGGAAAAGAAGTGGGCCTAGGATGAGTCTTGAGGGACCATAATATTTAATGGCAGAGGAGGAACAAAGGGAGACCAGAGAGACAGCAGGAAAAGCAGACTAGTGTTTTTATCCAAGGGGAGAGCATCATTCAAGAAAGAAGAAATGGCCAGTGGCATCAAGCGCTGATAAGGCTTTATTTAAGATAAAAGCTGAAAAATACCCTTTAGATTAGCAATGGAGGTCAGCAGTCCCTTTCCTGAAAGAGTTCAAACTCCAGGTCCTTTCCAAACACAGGGTCTTTCCTGTTTCTTCCCCTATTACCATCCAAGGTTCGAAATGGACCTCAAACCTCTGGGAAAACCAATCCTCCTCCGGGTTCTGAACACTATGGCTCTTTCAACATGACAGTTTGGGGCTTCAGCTAAGCCTATAACTTTCTGGAGGCCCCGCTCCACCCTACAGACTAAGAAATCCAAAAACTGAGATTGGTTTCTTCTAGATCACAGATGGCAAATATACAGCATGCCTGTTAACACCCACCACACCTTGGTCTACAACAGACATCACTAATTGATGAGAAGTCCTCACCTAAAAACATGTCTCTGGGGTCACTATCTCCACCTCTCATGTTCCAGGATGGCTATACAGCCCAGAACTGTGGATCCCCTGCCCATTTTATTGTCCCCTGTTACCCATCCTCCCCTGAGGAGGTAAGACAACAGAGGAGACAGAGACGAGCCACATTCCACGCCACACCACGTCTCTTTGTCCCTGGCTGCCAGCTGCACATAGCGCCTGGCCAGACTGTTGCATCTGTTCCCAATATTGATGCAATTCGCAGTAATTTGCTTTGGAAACCAAAGCCTGGGGATTGTGGGCTTTTTCTGAAAAGCAGGCCCTGCTCCACTGGAGAAGGGGAATGACTCAGCTCACATCAGAGTTGTGTTTGTTTGGCTTGTTCTGTTGGACACAAACACCCACCAGGTCCTGCCCAGCACGGACGATGCACATGCCTCCTCGCCAGTCTGATTTGGGAGGATAAAAAGCTCAACAAAGGAGCAGATGATCGAGAGGCTGATTTGCAGTCTGCACAGTTTATATTTAGCCATCTCGTGACTGGGTTGCTGGCTCTGTGTGGCAAGTGCCCTTGGGAAATTCAATCCTGGGGGACGTAGAGGTGGGACAGACCTGGGAGAGGGTAAGGAGGCTTTAGGTCACAGGAAGGTGAGTCAACCAAATCTGTCGAATAAGCAATCAGCTGGAGACAGTATTTTGGACACTCACTTGTAGAAACATGGAAGAAAATATAAAAATATGGAAGAGGGGGCATTTTTCTTAATAATCTGTAAATTGCCTAGCACACAGGTATGCGAAGTGCCTCCTCCTTCCCTTCACGCCTACCCTCAAGAAGCCTGGCAGCGGGTGGGGACTCAGGAAACCTGAATTCTAGTCCTAGCCTGCCATCAGCTAGAAGCGATTTCCCTGCTCTGTAAAATGAAAGAGCTGGAGAGGGGGATCCCTAAGATGCCGTGGTTCCACTCGTGATGAGATAAAGAGAGGCAACCTACAGGATGTACCATGGGGGGGTGGATGGGGAGTCATAATGGAACCTTCTGCAATCATTAAAAATTGTGGTGCCGATGCCACCCAACAAAAAATGAACTTCCATGAAAATGGAGCTCAAAATCAAAATAATCTTGAGGAAAAAAATAACGCTGCTAATCTATATTAATTGAGACCGAAGGTATTTCTAAGGTCTCGCTAAGTGAGTAGGGCAGCAGCCGCATGAAGCAGCCGTTCATTGTCAGTCAGGCTTCGTGGGATGGGAGAGAGTGACCACCGAAGACAGGAGGGGTTTCCGCAAGGTTCTCTGAGAGGAAGGAGAATCCAAGGGGAGCCTCACTCACCCCTGCTGACCCGTCCCACTCCAGATTTGGAGATTAAGTTGTCTGGGAATGCAAATCCCAGAAAGTGATGCAGCCAGAGAAAGGAGGGTTTTATATAAGATTTTCGTTGCCTGTTTGGGTTTTTGTTTTTTGTCTCTGTGATGCTTAGCAGCTGAGTACATAGAGGGGGAACACAACGCACCACCTTCCCCCAGCCCACAGCAGCAGGGGGAGCGTAGATGGGGGGCACAGGTCCTAAGGGACCCAGTCCCATGGGGGACCCTCTTAGAACAAGACTGCGGCTTTCGACAGAAGCTCCACCTCTTGGTGGGGCCCAGCCTCCTACAGATAGTGTTGTCTGGGCATAAATCCTCTCATTCTAGAATGACAAGGCAGAAAAGGGCCTTACAGATCATCCCTCACTCCCAGAGCAGTCCTAGTTCCGTGCAGTTCTCAAGCTGGCAGCCTCCGGAGCTAGTTCACTAAGGCTCTGGGTTCAGGATAATGGAGGGTTTGATCTGAGTTTCAGGGAGAGACTGGCTTCTCGCAAATATTCACCCAGTCTCCCGCATCAGATGCAGACACCTCAGCCCCGTCAAAGGCAACGAGGATTCTAACTGTCCCGGCGAGGTCTGAAAGAGCCAAGAGTCTCTCCCACTGCTTATGAAAACTGCACCTGTAGCTCTTCACTCCTCTGTGTACAAGTACACTCATCTGCTAAAACGAAAGGGGGGATGTCAGAAAAACAAAACTCTCTCGTGGGAAAGCACCCCCCAAATGAGAAATTACACAAGGAGGCCTCCACCAGGCCAGTTCTCCAGTCTCAACTATCTTCACCACTTGGATTCGCTGAATCAGAATGGACTTTTCACATCATGTCATCATTTTATGAAGAAGCAATTTAGGCCCAGAGGAGTTGTGTTTCTTAAGCAAAGTCACACAGCACCCCAGGAACCAAGACTGGGGTCCTCTGGCTCCTATGCACATTTTGAAAGACTCTTAAAGGTTAAATTCCAATCCACGACCCCATTCCTTTGTTTTATGGACAATAGGAACCTACCCCTCCCCACCGAAAGCCCCTTTTTAAAATTTCCCTTCTTGCACTATCTGTGGCAATCAATAGTGCACAGAACGGAATCATCATTGTAAGTACACTTCGTGTATCCCAATCAAGACACGGCGAGTTTGGGGTTCGGAACTTGACCTGTCCCACAGCGGTGCAAACCCCGGCAGCCTGGCTGCGCCTTCCCTGGGGGCCTCGCTTGCCTTCCTCCCGGGCTTGAGGCCTCTGCCTTGACGTGCCTGCCCCCTAGTGGCAGCAAATTTTACTGCAGTCACATTCATCTGCAGACAAACGAAAGAGAAATCCGGTGAAAAGAGACAAAGCGGGCCAGGTTATGATGAAGACGTTTTTTGACCTCACACACAAATACCGGACTAACTAGACGTTAGGCCACAGCAGTTTTGAACCTGCGGAGAGATGAGGCCAGAGTACCGAGGATCCTGGGTTGAAACTAGATTATGTAACTGACTCAAGGGCTAGTGGGACTAGCGGGCTCTGAGAATCTGGCATGGGCAGGAACAGAAGGACCTCAAATAGCAAAAGAGGGAGCATGGGCATGTGTGTGCTCCCAGCAAACACGGGCATGAGTGAATTCAGTCCTGCGCCCCCCACTTTGCACAAGCTGTCCCGCTGTTCAGACCACTGGTCCCCATACTTGCTTAGCTAAGTCCTGCTCCCCCCGCCGCTCTCAGCTCAGAGCTGCCCTGGCCTCCGCAGACGAGGTGAGCCCTCGGCCTATGCTCTCAGGGCACCGGGAACTTTCCCTTCATAAGACCATTCACAGACCCTAATTCTGTGTTTCTCTAATTATTTTCCTGCCCGCGCTAAAGGGTAAGTTCCATCAGGGCTGGTGCTGCGGCTGCCTTGTTGACTATTGACTCTGCACCCCAAAACAGTGACTAGCATATAGGAGGCCCTCAATACCTCTCAGCAGAATTAATGAAGCCAAAAGAGTTGGTTGAATGACTGAATTACTCTTTTTTACAGAATAAACAACCAGATCTCGTCTCAATGGAGAAAGCAGGCAAAGTGCATCTTGGCGCTTCAGGGCTGGGCAGCGCCGACAGTGGGATTTGTGTTTTTCTTGCCATGTCTCAGGATCCCTCCTAAAAGGGATCCCAACAAAAGGCACAAAATCTTCTGAAGGTGGAGACCTCCCCAAATATCACCCCAAATGCTCACCGTCGCCCTTGGGACATGTCTCTGGGCAGGTATCTTCGCCACAATTACACTTCTTGGTGTCTTCACCACAATTACGCTTCTTGACCATCAGCGTCCGTAGGCTCAGCTTTCATCCCTGCTGTGGTAGGAAAATCTGCCTGAGGACTGAAGGACAAGCAGGTGAGAGGCTGCTGACCTTCTGGGCTGCCTGTCTGTGTGACCTCAAATGGCGCCTCTCTGCCCCGGGTTTCCGTTGACCCATTTGTAAAATAAGGATCTTGGGGTATGTAACATGAAAGTTACTGATTTTCAGGTCTCAGAAAGCCCAACTTAAGCTGCCTTAAGAGGGGTAAAAAAGGAGATATAGATTGCTCATGAAACTGAAAAGTCATAGATTGAAGCTTGACTCAACCCAGGCTATCAAGGAACGTCCTCAGAGCCTGGTTTCTCTTTTCCATCCTTCTGCTCTGCTCCCTTCTGTGTTGGTCCCCCCGTGGGCAGGTGCCTTCTCTATGGGGGTCTCCAGCAGCTCCAGGCTTTTATCCCCACAGCAGAAAAATAGAGGGCGTTTCTCTCAGTAGTATCAGACAGAAGTCCCAGGTCTGCCCCACTGGTGCCTTTGGACCTCATGCTCATCCACGAGCCAGTCCCTGCAGTCAGGCGGAGTTCTGGGCTGCACGTGGATCAACATGGCCAGAGGCCAGGCACCCTAGAGGGTGATTAAGGAAGCACCTCAGAATGTGGGGGAGTGGTTGCTAGATGCGCAAAAACAAAAATGGCCCTGCAGAGGAAGTGATCTGGAAGGACTCTTCCAGCTTTGCACACCCTCACGGGACTCTGATTTGATGCTGGGGAAACAGAAGGGAGAATAGAGCTACAGACATGCTCTAGAGTTAGCCCAACCCCAGACCCTTTCAAACAACCCAAATGCCAAATAGGACCCCCTCACCCATCCTGAAGGGAGAGAAGGGGTGTCATGAGCTGCCCTGATGTTGTGATGTTGACCCTCCAGAAGGCAAGGGACATCAAATGAATGGCATTTTGATAATGCCACTAAAATGGAACATTTCTATTTCCCCAAAAAGATGGACACTGCCAGTCAGATTCATAAAAAAAAAAAAAAAAAAGATTGTATTAAACTTTCCCTTTCACTGCTTCTTTATATCTCTTGTTGAAATGGAGCAGGGAGCAGGATGCAGGTTGCCATGGTGACGGCTGAATTTTAAATAACAGGGCTCAGGAGCTCTGGCTGCTGGCTGCACCGCCCCAGGCAGGAAACCGTGGGGGAAGAAGAGAGGCAAAGTGAGAAGAGGAAGAGAGCTGCTGGGCTCATCCCAGGACACTGTAACTTCTCCAACTTGTTCTTACGCTGAGGATAAGGCCCCAAAATCACAGACTCCCACTGTGTCCAAAAATGAGAGAATGTGAAGCCCAAATGCATAAGCAGAGGACCTGGAAGTCACTCTGTCCATCCCTTACCGGATTCTCTCTTCTGACAGATGGATTTCTCCAACACTTACATCCCTTCCCGTGGACAACGGGCCCAGCCCTCGAAAGTTTTAGCCGGGCCACTGGAAATTTGACCCTAAGAGGAATGTTCAGAGACCCTGCAAGCCAAGAGCCCACAGGATTTTTAAGTGAAAGAGGAATTTGAGGTTAAGAGCCCAGTAACTGTCAACTCCCACAGCCCTGGCCACAAATTCCAGTTCTGCTCTTTTTTTCTAGATCCATCTAAGAATGAAATGGAGAGATTCAGGAAGTGGTGGGTTCCCCATGACTGGACATACTCAAGCCCGCATAGGCCACCCAGCAGCTGACTGACAGGAATGCTTGGGAACAGTTCCAGGCATCAGAGAGGTGGGGCCCTGCTGAGGGAGGCCTGGAGAAGCGACACACCGAGGCCTTCGCCCAGAACTATTCTAAACTCCAGACCAGGAACAGGGAAACTAGAGGCTGGAAGAACCGGCACCCCGGAAGCACGGAAATCTGCTCTGACACCCGACCACATGTGGGGACTGGCTCTGACAGGGGATGGTCTCGTCTCTGTGCCTCTCTCAGCTAGCCCTGCCCCTTGTCTCCTTTGTGTGTTTGTCAGGGAATGGCTTTTAGAAGTTAAATAATAATAAACACAAAGATTGTTGCTTTAGTAGCAGGCTTACTAAAGCTGAATGAGTCTGACGTTTCCCCCAGAAGCCCCGTGAGCAGAGGCCCCAGGAGAAAGGGGCAGGAGCTCAGGAGATGGGGCCCCTGGGCCTGGGACCTGCACCTCCATAACCTGCCCCACCCTGGTCCTGTGCCCCAGGCCTGAGGATCCAGCAGCTTGGGCCTCGGGTTCCCCATCAACATTCCCCAGACAGATCGGGCTGAGCAGGGGAGAAGAGAAACAGAAATGGCAGAATCAGGAGGGGGAAGCGACCCCACAGTTGTACCACCAGGCCACCCTCCCGTGCCTTCCTGAACAGAGGCAAGAACTCAGAGGTCCTCAGCCTTGAGAGGAGCAGAAGGCAGCCGCCCGGCACTGGCCTTGGCCTATCATTGGTGCTGCCCGAGACCTGCTGGCCTCTCTTTCCAACGGCAAGCTTAGCCCCAAACCACCACTTCCAGCCCCAAAAAGTCAGCCCTGCCCACCCTGCACATGCACGCGCCCACACACACACACACACACACACACACACACGCACACACGCATGCACCTAGAGCAGAGGGCAGGAGCAGCCTGGAGCCTCAGAAAGAGTGCCCAGGGATCCATACACACTAGGCTTGTACACACGTGAAACTACTCCTGGTGGATGCCGAGAATCCATCAACAGAAAGGGACCAGAAGACCAGAGGGTAGGGGACAGAAGGGAGACTTCTTTTCCACCACACGCCTTTTTGTAGAATTTCTCCCCCATGCATATATTGCCTTTTCAAAAAGTAAATTCTGTTCCTCTTTCTAGAACACATCTGTTGAATGCGTCCTTTGTCCTGGCCACTTGAAGTCAGGAAAACTAAGTTCTAGTTCTGTTCTGCCACTAACATTGAAGTAGTGTGATGCCAGCCTGGGACTCAAGCATCCTCGGCCCCAGTTCGTGGGGCTGTAAATTGGGGTTGAGGAAACCTGCTCTACCCTCCTCGCAGGCACTTTGGGAGTTTGATGAGATCCAACAGTAGCAACAATGATAGTAGTTAAATGTATTAAGTGCTTGTCATGCACTGGGCACAGCACTATAATCTCAATCCTAAAGCAATCCTATAAGATAGCAGCCAGCAGAAGCCTCATTTTAAGAGACGAGAAAAGTAATTTGCTCAAGGTCATGCAATTACATATCCGGCCTTCTGACTCCGGGGCCAACACTTTTACCCAATAAATGCCACGTGTCAGTTTGACATTAGTATTCATGATTCTAGAGGCAGCTTCCTGTCCCAGGAGGCTTGGGTGAGTGATCAGATTGCCTCCACCTGTTTGCCCCAATAGTGGCATCTGCTTTTACTTCAGACAGTTCAATGAGGGGATAGAACCTACAGATAGGGATATAAGCAAATCCCAAAGTGGGATCCCATTCTAGATGTTAGGATTCATTTCGTGGCAGAGACCAGGGTAGTGGACCTGCTTCTAACGGCAAGAAGCCCCACCTGAGGCCCCTGTCCACACAACTAGCTTATTACTGCCCCACCCCCACTGTCGCCATGGTAACGAGGGACCTAGGATGCCAGTCGTCAATTGCTGTTCCTGATTTAAAGAGCCTTCCTAATGCACGCTTCCTCTTCATTCTCCTCTCTCCTGAGCACTTCACAGCCGTCTACCATATCTCCCAACTGGCAGTCCTGCAGCCCCCTCCTTGACCACCACCAGGGACAAGCAGCTCACTACCCACCAGGCCCAAACCATTCTCAAACCACCTTTAATTGCTTGCAAAGTCTTCCTGCTATTGCCCCGAAATCTGCCTCCACATTCTGTCTAACTCTAGTTCCACTGCTTCCCTCGGGGGTCTCATATCACACCTCCCCCTGGCAGCCCTTCCAATAATTAGCGATGGTCCTCATCTTCTGCCTGGGACTTCTCTAGGCCAGTGGTTTGCAAACTTGAGCGTGCATCAGATGTGAGGATCTTGCTAAACCACTGAGTGCTGGGCCCACCCACAGAGTTTCTGATTCAGTAGGCCTGGGGTGGGCTCAGAAATTTACACCTTGAAGAGGCACCGCCACTGCTGTGGCTTGGGGATCCACTGTGAGAACCACTGCTTCTCATAACCACTCCTCAGACCTTTGAAAACTCCTTCTGTGTGTGAGTTCCCAGGCTTCTTTACCATTCTAGTCTCTCTCCTTGGGACCTGCTCCAGGTTGCCAATATGGCACCCAGAACTAGACAAGAAACCTTAAGTAGACATTTTGGGTTACAAGAAAGAAAGAGTCCCTCAGGTTACCTCAAGTAATAGGAGGTGTTTGTCGTGGACTTCAGACAAAGAGAAACCTCAAGTTTACGGCCAGCCCGCCTGGACCTCAGGCTGATGAGGCCTCTTGGGAAGAGCAGAGATGGCAGTGTAGCTGGATCTCTACCCAGAGGAAGAGATCTTGCCAGTCTCTTAGCAGCAGAGTGACATCTACCCTCAGCGCTCTCTGCCTCTTCTTACCCTATTTCTGCTGCCACCGACCAATTCCTTTATTCCCTCTCTCCTCGTAGATATCTCTATCTCTTAGCTTCTGCTTCCTCATTTTGCTTCTGTTTTCTTTGTTCCTTATGTCCCCTCTTGACCTTTACAACAGCATGGCCTGTCTCCACGAATATTTCAGCCTCTGGGCCTGCCACCAATGGCCAGATTTGCCCTTTTTTTTCTAGTTCAAATTCCCAAAAGAGAGAATCGGAGTGGGCAAGCTTGTTCCAATTTGGGTAAAGCTCTTCAAAGCAGCCTATAGCTTGGCAGCCTTGGCTCGTAAAAGGTTGGACCACATGATTTAAGCAAAGGCTGGCCCCTCAGAAGGAGATCATGGGAGTAGCCTGCCATCCATTGGCTACCAATAGATTTAATCTTGCATGCCAACTCCATTTGAAAACTACTGGCTGCCTTAAAGACTGTGTTGAGAAGGATTCAGAGGCTACATCTGAACTCAATGGAGTATGATGAATTAGTATTATCTGTCATGGGCAACCAAGCAAGAAGCCTCTGGCTGCATGCCCGTCCCTTGCCATCCTAGTGTGAGAGTGTGTGGTCTGATGAAGGCAAACACGGAGGAGGCATCAACTTCCTCATTCTGAGTCTTCTGCTTCTCTTTATGGGTACTAAGATTATATTTGCTTGTTTAGACAGCTGGATCACGCTATGGCTTCACCTTGAACTTCAGCCACACAAAACCCTTAAGCCTTTTTCATACCTGCTGTTAAGTCACATTTTGCCCATTCTGTATTGTGCAAAAAAAAGGGAAGAAAAGGAACCAGTTAAATTTTACATTTTTCCCTAATAAAGTTCACCTTGTTTAATTTAGCCTGTCACTCCAGCCTGTTGAGATCTTCTTACTTTGAATGATGTCTTTTTCTGGCCTGTTTGATAAATTGCTCAAACTGGGTCTGCAGGCCTCTGTCCATGAAATGGAAGTTAAATGTCTATGTCATCTTCTTTACAGGATTGACACAGATAAATTTAGATTATTTGCTTCCATGGACCAACTATGCACCATTTGGGGGACAGTAGCCCAACAATTTCATGAAATTTTTTTAGCCTCCCAGGTACACGTGTGTATTTGTCCATTGTGTCCACAGTGAGGCCCATCAAAGATACTCAGACTATTCGACAGAAGCAGCTCCTTTCCTTGAATAATAGTTACCGTTCACTGAACAACCATCCTGGGTGGAGGATGCTTTACCACATAATTTCTAACCCTGCCAACAACTTTAAGAGGGGGTTTTTGTTATCTTTCTTTTAGGGATGGACAAGTGTGGCATAAAGGGTTTCATTACTTTCCAAGATCACACAGCTAGTCTGTGGTCGGGCCGCATCGCAGTCCCAACCTGCCTGATCCCAAATCTTGTGTTTCTTCTGCTGTGCCACCCGGCTTCTCCCTGTGCATGACTCTGAATGACAGAAAAACTTGCTAAAGGCAGAAACTAGGGGCTTATGAATATAGTCACCCATGGATCACGTTTTTAAAAAGCACACCTATATTAGGTCTTAACAAGTATGATATATCCGTACTTTGGAATATTACACAGTTACTAAAAAAGAATGAGGTAGATTGACATATAGTCATACGAAAGACATCCAAGATGTTAAGTATGTCTATTCTGATCCTATTTTTTTAACACTACGTTAACATTTGTAAGTAGGAGGTAGAAAATTATGGGAGACTTTCAGTTTCTAAACTTTTCCATTTTGATTGAATTTTTACATTTAGATACTACTTTTGGAATCAAAAAAGAAATTAGGAAAATAAAGTGTTAAAATCATCAGTTACCCTTCCCTTCAATTCCTGAATTTCATGCATCTGCATGATGCATAAAGATTTGAGCCTCCTGTGTCTCCAGGACCAACAAGAAGAAATGCATTGCCTCACATAAGAAGATTTGAGGTAGGATAGGATTTGGGTGGGTTAATTCCACAGTTAACTGAATTATGCACCTATTCTAGAAACATTCACAGCAGACTTCTCACATCCTATTAGTCAGAATTGTATCACATGCCCCTGCTAATTCAACCACTGGTAAAGGGGATGAGGTCCTTAAGCCAGGAATGAACAATTGATTTGCTCCTTGGGACTGGAGAGGCCAGCCCCCTTTGAGGCACATGGCATGCCTTCTCTCTGAAGAATATTGGGGTTCTATTAACAAGGAAAAAGAGAGGAAGGGCTCATAGGTACAGAACCAATGGTGTTACAACTATTCCCTAAGTTAATGATGACACTATGCTCCTCTTATGAGTCTTCTCACCCAGTAATTGTATGTCCCTCCCCCGTCCACCCCCACCCCTACCCCTGTGTATTCACAGAAGCCCATTGTTCTGAGCCAGGTGTACTGGGTTTATAGACTATTTCAATTGTTAAAGTGTCAGCTAAAGTGCTTCTGCTTTTGTTACTTTACTTATGCTGACAGGGATGTTCATAAATGCCTCTGGGATGCGCCGTGGGAAATGTCACCATAAAGATGATTGAAACACACTGATTAAAATCTACTAAAGATCCAAAGCCACGGTCCAGTTGATTTCAGACACTGAGAATTCTGAAAGCAAGCAAGCAAGCAAATGATTTTCAGTGGTGGTAATATATGGCTCAGTTTAGCAGGATATACAGTGTTTGACAAGAAGGATTAAGCTGAATAGATTTTAGAGGAGAAATTTAAAGACAGACAGAGCTGTCTCGGATGTTTTGAGATACAGCTTTCTACGGGTAGGGTTCAGTGTGCTCCGCCACTCCTCTGAGAAACTGGAAGAAGCTACCACCCTTCATGGTTCAGCCTTTTGTCCGTTTGGGAAGTCATCAAGACAAAAGGCTCCAGCCCCTACAAACTTGAGGAATCTCTGAGAGGGGATCAGTGATTTTTCTGGTAGACGAGATGGCCAAAATAGGCTGCCGGGGAGAGAGAAGGAGGAGGAGGAACCACGTCCCCAGCCCCATCAAAGCTGGACCTTGAATTCACCACGATCTTCATTTCTTCCCCCATCCATCACCACTCCCTTGTCCCCTAAAACGCCCTTTTCTTTGACTTGCCCCTTGTGCTAGATACCTTCGTCTGCCCCTCCTGAAGCACTCTCCACTCTTCTCCATCCCCCTGCTCTGTGCCCCCAGAGGCTGACCTGGAGGGATAGATCAACGGGTTCCTGGCCCTCTGACTTCCAGTTGGGTTTGGCACAGGAATGAGATCAGTGGGAAGGGGTAGAGAGAACTTAGAGAGTGAGGTTGAGGTATTTATTTTTCTGAGGTCCCCAAGGACTGGCTACATGTGGAAGTCTCAGCTCAAGTAAGGCAGCCCTCTCCACAGTCCGCTCTATCTCCCAATTCTAAAGGCTTAGGAGTGGTGATGGAGCCCCACTATTACTAATAGTTCTGCACTACGCCTTGTGGTTTCCCCACACTCTGCCCACGCCTTTGTAAATAGTTTCTTTATGAAACTCTGCTTGAGTTATCCTAATTTGAGGGTGCCATCTGTTTCCTGCTGATACACCTCTCTAATTTGATCTTATGTGCGTTGAATGTTTTTACTTGGTGATATATCTGTGTTCCTGCCTCCTGAACCACTGCTCTGCACAGTGCCAAAACCCACAACCTCTGAAGTCACATAAAACTGGGTTCATATCCCACTCCCCCTTCTCTAGCTAGAAGACCTTGGGCCAGTCACTTTCCCTCTGTAAGCCTGAGTTTCTTCATCTGCAAAATGGCAATAATAATAATAGTGGTATCCACTCCATAGAGATCCGACCCCACCAAATTCAAGATCCCATAAGGAGCAAATGAGACAATAGGGAGTGGGGGCAAGTGTGATGAATTACAGAGCTCATGAGGCATCTAAGAGGGAGGCAGCGGCTCCCCAGATCCGAGTGATGATTGTCATGAAAAAAGCCAACCCATAATTGTTAGTTCTTCTGATACTTCAAGAAGCCTTAAATCCAGATTTCTATATGAAATCTCCTCTTCACTAGAATGTCAGTACCATGAGGACACTATTTTATTCATTACTCTATCCCCAGTGACTAGAATAGTGCCCAGCACATAGAAGTAATCAAAAATATCTTTGTTGAATAATTACACAAATTTTTATTTATTAGCAATTAGCGAGGGTAAAACAAAACCAGGGCCATGAAGGGGCCAGCCTGGCAGTGTAAAGGTTAAGTTCACCCACTCTGCTTTGGCGGCCAGGGTTCGCCAGTTTGGATCCTGAACATGGACCTACACACCACTCATCAAGCCATGCAGTGGCAGCGGCCCACATAGAAGAACTAGAAGGACTTACAACTATGAGATGCAAATATGTACTGGGGCTTTGGGGAGGGAAGAAAACAAGAAGAAGGTTGGCAACAGACGCTAGCTCAAGGCCAATCACCCTCACCAAAAAAAAAGAAAAACCCAGGGCCAGGCAAGTGCTGCATGGCTGTGAGAGTGAACACCTCCTTAAAGTTTGCCTCCTACGCTCCTCGCTCATCTCACTCCAGTCCCAGCCCTCAAAGAAACACTGCTATGAATTGCTACTTCTGCTCCAGAAATAACCACAACTGAAAGGTGCTAATAAAGGACGGATCCTTTTTAAGCCCCTATTAATTAAATAAAGCCATATTTTCATGAAGTGGGACACAGCCATCATTTTCAGAATTCCCACTGTGCAGCCCCTAATTCAGCTCACCTGCAACCAGGCACTTAATTAATGTTCTCAGGCCCGAGAGAAGAGATGCAACTTGTTTTAGCCCCAACAGCTCGCGGATCCTCCACTCCCTCTGCCGCACACCAGAGGACGCGAACCCAGCGAGCTGCAGATTCGTTACTGCAGATTCGTTACCCGGCTTATAAATGCCGAGGAGACAGCTCTCCAGCAAAGAATGACTCAGTGGCCACGTTGCAGATAAAATAATGTATGAAACCACTTCTATTTTAATGGCACTTTGCGGTGACACTAATACTGATGAAAAATGTTAGCGTGTATGAGATGGTGTTATGTTCAGTGAGAGATGAGGTTTAGCAGGCTGGGGCCACCTCTAGTCCAGGCCAAAGATGTGAGAAACAGCAACTCCCAGCTGACGGGCGTTAGCCCCTGTGTGAAATAGGCTGGTTGGGTCAAATAAGACTAACACTTGACCTTGGCAAGTATGTGATGGCCACTGCTGGTTGGCTGACCCGACAGTCATTACCAAATCCCTCTCTTCTAGTCAACTTCCACTCCAGAGCTTGGAAAGTGTTTTCCCAGCCTCTTCTGCAGTTGGGAGTGGTCATGTAAAACACAATCGTTCATGAGTGGAATTCTGCTGGGGGAGGAAGTTCTGGGAAGCAACTGTGCTTTCCTGATAAAAGGGACAGAAGTGGTTGATCAACACCATCTGTCTCACTCTTTTTCTGCCCTGAATTGGGATGTGATGTCTAGACCCATCGCAGCCATTTTAAAACTAAGAGGCATGGAAGAAGAAGACCTCAGTGACAGCAGTCTTGATGTCCAAGAAGAAGCTAATAGCTGCCCATATTCGGCCTGGATGAGAAAAAAAAAATGCCTATTCATGTATGGTTCTGTAAGCTGGATGTTTCCCTCAATACAAATGAGTGCATTCTGATATTTATCTTAACCTCCCTGTGCCTCTGTGGTCTCATCTGTATAACAGGAATAATAACGGTATTTACTATTGTTGTAGAGGTGGTGGCCTTAATGAAAATCTGTTCAAAGTCTTGAAATAGAGCTTGACACATAGTTAATCCTTAACACTAGCATCATTATGTATTAATGAATAAGAAGCTGCTAGGCTTTTTTTTTAAAACACTGCTAAAGCCATCACTAATAATGCACGAATGAGTGTAAGCAAAAGGCTAAAAGGAAATAGAGACTGAACCAGGAGTGGCAGCGGGGGGTTGGGAGGGGCAGGCTGAGGCAGCAGATTTGGAGTCAGGACACCCAGGTTATAAATGGCCAGAAATAGCGGAATGATCATGTAAACAAAGGCACATCCACTCCATGAACCACATATGCGGACATTTAAAAATGCATGCAAAAGACTGTCTAAGGGCATAAGGAAATGCTTATGATAAAATGTTAAATAAAAAACAGAACACACACACAAATTACATTTAAAAGACGATCCCAACTATATTAAAAAGAAGTGAAAATGAAAAGAAATAACCCAAAATGGTAATCTATGAGCTTATGGATAACATTTTTTTCCCTTATGATTTTCTGAATTTTCCAAATTCCCTGTAAAAAAAATACATAATTGTTGTATACGATAAAATTTTTGATAATTTTAATTTTTTTCTCTTTTATGCTTTGCTGCATTTTCAAAATTCTTTGCAGTAAACTGATTACTTATATAATAAGAAAGATGAGTTTGTTTTTAAGACAAGAAAACACATTTGTTGCCCGGAGGCAAATGGAATCTGACCAGTCTTACTAGTATTGCAGGACACACAGCAAAAATACATTCTGGTTTCTTAAAAGCTACCAACAACGTAATTTTAGTATATTTTAAAGTATGACGGTGCCCCAGAGGGTGGAACTGCTCATGTATAAGGGCTCACTCCTGCTTACCAAAGACGGAGCAATAAGTCAGAGTGGGCCTCAATGTACACATTTCTGTTTTCAGTTACATTGGAGAAACTGAGGCAGGAGATTTTTTTTTCTTTCATTCCAAGTTTTGTATATTCCTATGAATTTTTAAGATAAAAGTTATCTTTTTATCACACAGATTGTGGATTTTAGGCTCAACTTCACCAGTTACTAGTCATAGGACACGGGGTACAGACAAGTTGTATAAGCTTTTAAAACTCCGTTTTCCCATCCCTAAAATTATGGTTATAATGTCTACTTCTGGGGAATGCTATATTCAGCAAATATAATAACGTGTGTTAAAGTGCTTTATAAACTGTAAAGCCCAGTACAAACTTTAGTGAAAAGAACGTAGGCTCTGAATTGTCAGCATTGATTAACATCCTGGCTGTGACACTTAATTGTATGTGAAATTTAAGCAAAATATACGACCTCCCCAGCTTCAGTTTTCTCACCTAGAAGATGGAGATCTTTCTTTATATATAAGACAGCTGGAGCATTGTGAACACCTAATATAGGAAAGTTGTAATTATACTGTCTGCACTTTCCCAGGAATAATCGCAGTGAGTTCTTCACTTGGAAGAGGCACCCCAGGAGACAGGAACAGGGCTTCCTTCACAAACATTTCCCCAAAGCGCCTGAATGCTACAAAGAGCAAAGAGGAACTGGGCAAGAAAACTGCATCCCTCCCCATAAAGCATTTTTCCAGACTGTCTGCCACCCAACACCCAAGCTCTGGACTGCCTCTCTGAAATATTATCAAAAAGACAGAAAGAGAGTCTAGATGTGAAAAAATATGAAAAAGGAATTTGAAGGTTAATTTCATGTGTTGACTGGGTCACAAAGTGCCCAGATATTTGGCCAAACATATTTCTGGGTGTGTCTATGAGGATGTTTTTAGATGACTTTAACATTTAAATCGATAGATGGAATAAAGCAGATTGCCCTCCCTAATGTGGGCGGGCCCCATCCAATCAGTTGAAGGCCTGAACAGAGCAAAAAGGCTGACTGCTGAGGGGAAGAGGGAACTCCTCCAGCCTGACCATTGAGCAGGGACATCACTTTTTCCCTGTTTTCAGACTCAAACTGAAACGTGAGCTCTTTCTGGGTCTTGAGCCTGCCGGCCTTCGGACTGGAACTACATTCAGTTCTGCTGGTCCTCAGGCCTTCAGACACAGACTAGAACTACACCACCAGCTCTCCTGGGTCTCCAGCTAGACGACTCACCCTGCAGATCTTGGGACTTGCCGGGTGGGACTCCATAGCCACATGAGCCAATTCCCTATAATAAATCTCTCTATATATGTAATTCTATGGGTTCCATTTCTCTGGAGAACCCTAACACAGGAATCTTCACCTTAACGAACAAAGGTTTGACTGGGGGGAGGACTTAGGAAACCACCATGTCCCTAAATCACTGAATCCCAGCAGCCTCGTGACACGAATCAGCAGCGACTATTGAGTGCTGTGTCCAGCTTCCCACCATGTCCCGTCAATGTGAGCTGCTAAATCATGTCCTTCCCCGTTATCTGAGGATGGGAAATCAATACTTCCATCATTATTATTATTACTCCCAAGGCACCTCTCCAGGAGCATCTCACCTGTTCTCTCCCAAGCACAGAGCCGGAAAGATGATGAATCTGCTTTTGAGACCCCATTGATCATAGCAGAAAGGGAAAGGATGAGACGGAAAGAAGAAATATAAGGGGAGTACCAGAAAAAAAATAAAAAGAAAGTGTGAAAAAGCCTAAAGCTGCTGCTCAGTGTTGTCCCTGAACTTCCTTAATGGGATTCCTTAGGGGTGATGGTTAAAATGGCAGGCCCCTGGAGATGCTAAGTCTGTAGGTCAGGGGCATAACCTAGGAATCTACCTTAATTAACAACCTCTTCAAGTGACGTTTTTCCTCTTCAGGTGATTTTATGCACCTAAAGTTTGTACCTTAAAAACTTAGAGATCTACTAGTCACTGGTCGAAATAGTCACTGGTAAGGATCTTGATGTTTGTGGTCCTGCCGTTCATCTCTCAGAGATGAGTTTTGCCGAACACCTGCACACGCACCTGTAGGAGTGGGCCAGCATCTTGCATGTCAATATCAGCCGCATTCCAGTTTGGTGGAGTGGGGATGTCCCTTGATTGACACCAGCAGTTCTAAAACCTCAGTGTGCATTAGTCAAGCCGAAGGAATTGTTAAAACAGAAATTGCTGGGCCCCACTGCCAGCGTTTCTTATTCAGTAGGTCTTGGGTGGAGCTTGATAATTTACATATCTAACAAGTTCCCAGGTGACTGATGTTGCTCATCCTGGAAACACACTTTGAGAATTACTGGGTTACACATTGGATGGATTCTTGAAAAGTAGCATGTACACTGACAGTTCTTTTTCTTCTTGTTTGGGCAGAAAAGCATAAATAAGGGAGAGAAAAAAATCACCTGCTCCCTTACCACCCACTAGCCACTGGGCTTCAACAGACACACACACACACACACACACACACATTTCTCTTCTTGAAAAAACATCACACTGTATATTGCCCTCTGCCCTACCCCTTCCCTGAACACATCAGGAACTCCAGTCTTCCACGACACACCTCTACAACACAACCTCTAACAAACGCACAACACTAGCACTGTCTACATTCATCACAATTGTCTGTGCAATTTCCTTCAATAATTTTATTGTTTTAATTAAACATGCTCAGTGTAAGAATCAAACAATAGAGAAAAATACAAAGAAAAGAAAATGCATCTCAATTCCCACCCCCCCAAGAGATAATCCTTGTTAATAAATTGATGTACATCTTGCAATGCACATATTCCTATACACATTTATAATTTTACACAAATGGAATCATATAATCTAAGCTATTTTTAATCTGCTTCTGCCACTTATATACATTTTGTAAAGCAAATACAACCTCAAAAATCTTCGGGAAATGTATTACCTAGTTGAATCTTAACCTAAATCCTCTTAGGAAATGAAGCATTCTTCTATATAGTGAATTTCTGCCTCCTCCTCACAGATCCACAGGTTACCTTCTTAAGGGTGTGTGTGCTTGTGTGTGTGTGTGAATTCCACATTCATTTATCAGGTTTGCTTCAGGAAGAGTTCACCTGTAAGAAGGATGAGCCTTTTGCCGTAAATCAGAGTTCTGGGTCTCAGTGTTCACAGCACAGATGGTCTAAAACCCAGAGTATTTGGAGATTCCAGTGTAAATTCTGGATTTTCTCCAGTCGTCTAGGACTGAAGA